CAATGCCGACCCAGATAGAAGTAGACTAGAGAGAGATTGAAAATATTGGCAGGAGGATTACAGCAGTAAATTGTATTACAAATCAGTAACACACACACACACACACTCACACAAAATTGCTGCTGTTTGTGTGTGTTTAATACGACACGACTGTACCACACTTGTGTTGTGCTTTTTTTTTTTAGAAAGGAACTGTCTTGATTTATACAACATCAGGAGTGGTAGAGAAGTATGTGAGGGTGGTGCTCATCAAGCACGAGGTCAACTTGACTGTGTTGAGGCGTGCAATCAGAGAGTCAGATAGGTGCAGGGTGAGAGTGGCTTTAGTCATGGACTCAGAAGACAGACCTCCACGTTATACGTCCAACACTGTCAACTTACGCTAATGCTGTTTGGTACTGAACATGAGACCGTTACACATACATCAAACAAACGTCAGGCAGGATGCTGCACAGCTTCGCCTACTGGCAGTGAGACTTGTCAATAGACCATGCGCCCCACCGTCAGGCAGGATGCTGCACAGCTTCGCCTACCCCCCAGTTCAAATACCGATATCAGTCCGATACCTTATTTTCTTCTCCTGCCTGCTGCAGGCTACTGTTGCTGAGGTGATGGTGTCACTGTTGACGGCATGTCCCACAAAGTTAAGTTGAAGATTTGGGCTTAGGTATTGGATCAGACGGGCTATATTTGATTTTCTAAAGATCAATCCTGAAATTTAGACCAATATCGGTCGGATACCGACCCTGACTATCAGATCTAGCCGTCCCTGGTATCAAAGCAACTACCTCCATGGGTCTACAAAAATTATATTTTGGCAAAATGCTCACTTAGCTACACTAGTGAGCATTTTGCCAAATATGACAAAGAAATCCTGAGTGTGTGTGTGTGTATGTGTGTGTGTGTGTGTGTGTGTGTTAAACAAAGATATACATACAAGCTGGCTCTTCACGAAGCCCTGTCTAAGGAAGATACACGCCGGACCCACTATGTTGTGCAGCATGTTGCAGTTCTTAACCAGAGCACAGAGAGGTTCACCGAACTCCTGCTCTTTCTTTTCTCCGTCCTCGTCTCTTGCGTCCACTTGTCCGACTTTACCCCGGTCCCTCTGCATCGTGGCGACCGCGTGGGCACTTGTTTTTTCTACAGCCGACACCCCCTTCGTGCGGGAGGACCAACCGTGATAGGAAACAATTAAGAGTTTTAATTCCAATGACGGCAAACAAATATTTGAACAATGAAATATGTTACGTCTCTAGGAGTTCTATTAGAACACAAATTCTGACTACAAACCACATTGTCTCCAATACCTGGTCTCCAGTAGAAGCAGGTGTCATTTTCTCTTACCTTTTTCCTTTGATTGTACTTCCTAGAAACCTTGTTGATGTTTCCCATCACCTTGCCCTCCGTCCTACCAGCCCCCCTCCCTCTGCCGTGAGCCAGTCCCTCCACGATTCTCCTGTTTAAATCTCAAACGATGTAAAACTATATCCTGCACGTCCCATTATGCACTATGTCATCCACTAAAGCAAACACAAATGATTCCATCCTGCACCACCACCACCACCAGGACTACAGAGCCAAAACTCCATCCTGTGATCCAGTATCCTATTGGTCCCTTTTAGTGATGAAGTAGACAAATGAGTTTCCATGAAATCCTAAGCTCTTTTAGCTCAACGCGGGCTGCCATGATGAGATTTAACAAAAATGCGATATTAAGTAAAGGAGGTCTGGGAATCAATAGAGCAGGACATATCTGGACTAATAACCCCCCAAACCCCCCCCCCCCCCCCCCCCCCTCCCCCTCTCTCCCAACACTGAACAAGGCAGCCAGTCCATTCTCACCAATCAAAAGAACCAGAATCCTAAACCTCAGACATATATCTGTGAAACACACACACACGAGCTGGTCCAAATTCAAGGGATCAAAAAAGGTTGTGTGTTTCTGTGTGTATTTGTGAATCTGAATCTGTGTGTATGTATGTGTGTGTGTGTGTGTGTATATGTTGGGTTGAGAGGGAGAGTAGTTCGACTGTTTAATCCCCATCATTTCAGATTAGAGACACGCCGATGCTGATACAATCTGAAAGAAAAACATGAGTCGCTCCACACCACACTACGAGTGACATTTAAAAAACGATATTCAGAAAATGTTCTATCAGTTTCGATGTTTCTACAGGTTCTCAGTAAAGGCATTTTCCATATTTCCCCAAACAAATAGGCCCTGCTTTATGTAAAGTAATAATACTTTAATGTGTAATATATTGTTAAAATGTCCTCTAAATAATATTATTCCAGCTGAATTCCTGCAACCCTGCATATTTAAATGTATTTTTCATAAAAAATCTTTGGGTTTTTACCAGAAGGGGGCTGCAAAGGAAGCAGTATAGAAAATAAAATGCATTTTAAAAATTGATCAAAATTATGTTTTAAAAAGTGCAAGAACAACAAACAGCAACGCATGCGAATAAAGTCAATATTCTCCAGATAAAAATCAATAAAAATGATGAATTATGCATGGAAGGTCAACGTCTGTGCAAATTGAAACAGGCGATTCGTTGAAAATGTACAGGCCTGTAACTCTTCTGTACAACCAGCAGATGTCCTTCTCATGCTCCAGTAAAAAAGAGAACGTCTGCAGAAATGAATTTTTTTTTTATGCAAACAGGGAGAGCCTCAAACTCTGGCCCAGGGCCCACCTCTGGCTCACAAAGTCCTTGTGTTTTAAGTCATGTATTTATAATATACAAAAAAGTTTACTGTTAACATGTAAACACACAGGCTGTTTTAGAAATTGTACTGTATGCATACAATACAAAACATACTGTATTCTCTAGTACCAGCTCAGAGTACTTGAAATAAATAAAACAAAAGATGATCTTGACAACTGGAGCTCAATCACACCACACACTAAGACAGAATGACCACACAGTGACCTCCTCTGGATAAATCCACCTGCTCTGAAGGATTTGAACCCACAGTGACTGTTCTGTTATATAATGGTACAGCGTGTGCCCTTAGTCCACTGGCCCAGATGGACACCAATCAGATCAGCGGACAGCAGTCCTACCACAGGCTGTCTTTGACTTTTCTTCTCTTCTTTCATAGGGACACACTTTATAATGGAAATGCAGTTTTTTGCACTGCCGTAATCAACACCTTCATGTGCACAAATGGAAATGTAGGAATGAAAGAACAGGGAGAACCTGAAACCATCAGACGGGACGTTTGACAACAGGCTTGTAACAACACGATAAAGAAAACAGGGCGGTCGAATTATTGAAACTCAAACAGTTTGAGGGTTTGGGTGAGGACTTGTGTTATTATAATGACTATGTTGAAGTAGTGTGGGAATTCCAAGTAAATCCTAGAAATAAGGTGCAAAGAATTTTTTTAAAAAACAAGTGTTCAACAACAGAGCATGTAGCTTACCGCCCTGCACCTGCGGGGGTGCTATAGAGTTGTTTTTAACACTAGGGCCAGTTGCTCGATGCTGCGCTTAAAAGCCAATTGCCCCTCTCTCCCCTGCCCCCCTTTGGCCCGCACTCACATTACCGTAAAGGCAAGCTAGCCCAAAGGCCCAGCTGCCTCCGACACGTAAGTCAGTGACTGTTGGTTATACGAGGTTAGCCACACAGTCGACAGCAAGTCTGACAACAGCGGCTGCGACAGCTGCTTGGTGATCTTCAAAACAGATAGCCCTGATTAAATCAAGGACTCAAGGTTCTTTTTTTATTGTCATTGCAACACATGTTAGACATGGAATGAACAAAATACGTTTCTCTGGTCCCGGATCGAGTACAGGTGACAGAGGGGAAGAGTTTAATATAGTGCAGGTTGAAGAAAGAGGAAAGGGTTGATTGTGCAATGAATTAAAGACAAGAACAACAACACTGTTGAGCAACATAAGTGGGGAAGTTGTGAGTCAATGTGCAAGCCACAAAATGTGAACTGTTTGTAGGGTGGTTATGAGGGGGTTCACCGGAGTTCAACAGTCTCACAGCTTCAGGGAAGAGGCTGTTCCTCAGTCTGGTGGTCCTGCCTTTGATGCTCCGTAGCCGTCTTCCTGAGAGGAGGCGGACAAACAGAGCACACAACCAAATGTGTCCTCTGCATTTTACTCACCACTAAAGTGAGCAGGAGCAGGTGTGTGGGGATGGTGCCATGCTCAGAGGTAACTTGGCAGCCGGTGGACTCGGTGAAACTGAAACCTTCCAGACTCAAGTCTGCTTCCTTAACCACCAAGCCACCACTGCCCCAAACCACACATGAGTGTAAGTTTGGCACCATTGGTCCAACACTTTAAACTGTGCTTTAAACCCCCCACCACCCAGTGTCTGGGTGCGTAATTTTTCTAGACCTTGAGTTAGGGAACCTCTGCAAGTATATACCTGTTGTTGAGAATGTAATAAAAATACTACAAGTTCTCTAACGTACAGTTAGAAGGCCACTAGAGGCACACCTAATGACAAATACTGCATACCACAGGACCAAGCACCAGTTGATTAGCACCAGTAAACATGGGTCACTTGAACTGAGCAGAAATGTTTCCATATGTCAATAAAAAAAAAAACCAAAAAATCACAAAAAATATGGTTAAATTAGTCTCAACATGTCTCTGTCATTGGTGTGGAACCACAGGGTTCACCTCCTGGGCAAAATCGAATCCCGGTTAGGGCGGTTGGTACCTTCCAGTGGACTCACCACCTGCAGGAAGGTTCAGGGGAGTTGGTACGGTGCAGTGAGATTTGGGTGACGGTCATGGAGACTGCTGCCCCCTGACCCGGTAACGGATAAGCGGTTGAGGAACAAAAAACTGACTCAGTGAGGTGTAGACACGGCGAGTATAAGTATTTGAATATCAGCGTATTGATCCGTATTGATCTCGATACCTCTGATATTGATACTTTGGTACATTGGATATTTTGGTACATCCACTTAGTCTCCATGTAACTGCCCGTCTACATCTCCTTAAACTGTTTAATACTGTATGAGATTAAAAATGATCAACTGCATCAGTGATCATCAACTGAACAAATCCGGCCCTGCAACTGGATTGTAAAATGTAATTTAATTAATTTATTTTTTTCATTTTATTTGAGTGTCCAGCCCCCCGAGGTGTCTGTCCTGAAAACTTATGCACCTCTAGATCCTAAGCGACACATTTCCAGGTCAGTGACGAGCCTTGTCGCTGTCAGGGGAATCCATCTGTAGGAGTCTTTAGTGTTCTGTTGGGCCGGGGTAGAAAGCAGTAGTTTGCCCAGGTCAGCTCTACAGCATTACTTCATCAATATAAACTGTACTCTGATGTGGAAGAAGTGAAACCATTCCACGCTAGAGTGGTGTTTTGGACCAAGATCTGTTTGGGAGATAAAAGGTCTGGTTTTTCTTGTTGTTGTTCTGACTGTTTCAAGTAAACACGCTGCAGTCAGGAACAAATCATTAACAACAATTCACACAGTAGCCACATACTGTATGTCCGGCTTATTTTAATCTACCAACTTACCCAAAATAATACCTTCTGCACCTGTCTAGATTTAAAAAGAAAAACACAATTTCAAATGGCCGATAAGTCAGACTGGACATTTTTCCCAAGCCTGGGAGATTAGAGGTGCTTTGTGATGAGGAGGATGAAGGATGAAGGATGATCGGAGAGTGACAGACTGAGTGGAGCTGCGTGTGATTTCTGTCTCTTTGCAGCAGTTGATGCTGCAGTGGTTAATGGTACATCAGCTAACCTACTTTATAATCTGTCTGTAAAGCTGCTGCTGCCGCCGCCTTAATGCACCGCTCCACAGGCTCTGCCTCGAGAGAACGCAGGCAAAACTAAAGAATTTAATCTTTATAAGTGACTTTTCCGAAAATCAATTATAAGTCGAACGGGCAGAATAATAATAATAATAATAACAGCCTAAAAATCATATATTTGTTGTCACTGTGGTCAAACGCACTTGTGTCGTTGTTTTTGTACTTTCTGCTAATAAAAGTCGATTGTCCCCAAATGGACATTTTTGGAACTAGGGAAATGTATATGTAGTAAAGATGAAGAGTAATGTGAATGTTTTTATACAGATGTACTTTTTTAATAAAGGAATAAATGACCAAATTAATAAAAATCAAACAAACAATGTATATAAATTGATAAGTAAAAAAAAAGGCTCTCACTTAACTTGTGAATCTACAATCTTATGTTTACAATATGGTGAATGGGGAGTGTTTTAGTTTGTGGCCTGGAATGCAGCAGCAGGAGCCTCAACTTAGCATCGAATGGCGAGGAAATGAGAACTCCTCCCCTCTCCTTGTCCCCTGTTTCTGTTAGCCCTGGGAGTTGTCACCTGAGTTGTGAAAGCAGGCACAAACTTGTCACCTGACACACCTTTAATGTTGAAATCCTCAGATCGATTCTGCAGATCAGCAGTCAAAACGCTGTTGATACAGATTACGATGGGTTGAAAAGTCATTTTCCCTTGTCTCCTTTCAGGGACAACATGTCCTCACAGGCTCGACTGGAGCTCTGAATTACACAAACCCCCCCACGCGCCACACGCCTCGAGGAATACGTTGCTCAATACACTGCTACAAATATATTCACTACTATATATATATGTATATATGTATATATACATATATATATACATATATATGTATTCCACACGCCTCAAGAAATACGTTGCTCAATAGACTGCTACAAATATATATATGCATATATATATTTGTAGCAGTGTATTGAGCAACATATT